GTTTTGCAAAAATATGACAATATAAACTATATTCAAAAGCCATCTTCTGCAGTACGTCAGTAAGTAAGAAGCCAGTTTTAAAAGCCGGCTTCTTGGTGACTCCAGAAGCCGGCTTCTGTTGTCCTTCAGAAGCCGGTTTTTAAAAGCCGGCTTCTTGTTGACTGTAGAAGCCGGCTTCTGTAGTACGTAAGAAGCCAGTTTGTAAAAGCCGGCTTCTTGGTGACTCCAGAAGCCGGCTTCTGTTGTCCTTCAGAAGCCGGCTTTTAAAAGCCGGCTTCTTGGTGACTCCAGAAGCCGGCTTCTGTAGTACGTAAGAAGCCAGTTTGTGAAATTGGTTTTTGCCTTCGAGTACTTCTGAGAAATGTAAAGGAGAAGGATTAATACGGAGAGCTTTTTAGAAGTTTCTAACTTTTTTTATTCTGTAAGTGATCATCATGGAATTTAGACACATTTTTTAGAATGAGGTGGATTTTGTCATCCTGAAATATTGTAAATGTATTATCAAACGTTCGTTTCTACAACGTTTTTTGTGAAGCAATGAAATTCCATTTTCTATTTTTAACCGTTACATTTTGCTTAATAAAATAAAAACCTAGTACTGTACGAGCAAAATAAAATGTGTTTATAAGCTAGACGATAAAGTAAAGTCTTAGTTTTCGTAAAGAAACTGATGCGCATTCCACCATGCAGAAGTATCTTTTAAGATTTTTATAGAATCGGTTCCACTATTCTGGTTATACCTTTTGCCCATTAGATTATTATTCCGTATTAGCAGATCGATTTTTAAAGGTTCTTATGAAATATATTCAAGTACATATTAAAGGCAAGCGAAGATGTGGCAGATCACCACAAGCAACACCAAGATACTTAATATTACACAAACACATAGCCGTAGGGACCGGGGGCTCGGTGGGTTCGGACGAACCCCCGGTCAGGGTTTCTCAAAAAAATATTTTTGGAAAACCAGAAACATTAAATTCAATTTATATGAAAATAAAAACATAATAAAGTTGTACAATTCTCTCCAAAAGTCTGGCAACCTAAGCCAAGGGTTGGGATTGTCTAATTTTGAGAAGAACCCGGATCATCATGGCATTATGTAAAGAAATAACAATAATTTCGCACAACTAAAAAGCTGCTTCATATCCGGTGAAATAAACCAAATGTCTTAATACTAACAAATTGATTTACTTTTGCAATATTTCGATTTACTCTAAATCTTTTTCAAGCAACTGAAAATTTTTCCCATAATTATAAATAAATTTGTTCAATCAATTTAACATAAAATTTGTTATTTTTATCTGTTTATTTTAACATAAAAACAACTACTTATTGCCTTACTACTGATGAAACACATTTTCTTTCAAATCTTTGCGCCTTCGTTTTGTTTTATTTCAAACAAAAAATCTTACCAGGAGCTGATTAGTCCCCAAGAGCAAATATCAAATAATAGAAACTTTTTGAAATGAGTTAGTTTGAAAAGCACACATGTATTAAAAAACTGTTTAAATTCCAAGTTTGAAAATGATCACATTTTCCATCCAGGTATGGTTTAGTGATATTGTACAAAAATGTTGAAAATGCAATTTTCTAAAATTGAGATTTCTGTCTTAGCCATTATTTGAGCCATTTCTGGATTGCTTTCATACACATTATCAATAGAATGTAAAATCTACCCTTTAAACAATTCAACAATCTCGTCAAATATGATGCACTGACTGCTTATTAGGTAAATTCCAATGATTTATGCATTTAACTCTCTATCTACACAAAAAATCATGAAAAGTCCTTTAAAACGGAGATACAGGGTGTTCCAAAAGTAACAGGACTGGTGCTGGCATTTTGTCAATTTTGCACCGAGTGTCTTCAAATTTTCACAAATTGTACTTTGAAGTATTGCAACTAAAATTGTATAGTTTCAGAAAAAATGATGAAATGCGGGTAGAGTCATGGTTACTATAGGAACATGACATCACAATACCCGGGGCAACTTTTTTCTGAAAATGTGATATCTAACATTTTTGTATTACTAAAGAAAGTATCTTATTCACCTATTATAATACAACATTTCTTGTTTATTTTATTAGTGTCTTTGTTGTAAAGGTGTTGCTATAAAACTCAAATTCAAGTATAATTTCATAATAATAATATTTATTCAATTTCTTGGAATATCACTATGAATTACAGTCTGAACAATTCATGGTTGATTTTTTGAAAAGACCCAATTTGAAGCCAGTCATCCACCTTGATAAAGCGCCTGCCCGCAGGTCACCATTAAAGACCATGTAGCTGTAGAGGAGCTAGGTCTTGAGTTCTAAAACCATGCACCATACTCTTCTGATCATGCAACATCCAATTTTTACTTACATGGAGAAGGGAATGCTAATCAGTGCTGTAAGATCTTTAAAAATGAGATTGAGCTTCTCCAAGTTGTTCAATCGACCATGCGTGACATGTCCTCAAATGGGTTCACTCATGCGTTTGAGTCATGGAAAAAGAGTGCTACTCTTCTACTGACCAAAGAGGAGCCTATTTTTCAAAGTACATAGGATACATAGGAATATCAAATTATGTAAAACAAATGTAATGCCCACCAGTTTTTGCATTTTAACTTTGATATGGGATGTACAAAATGGTTAATGTATCTTTCTGTCTTAATGTAACTTTCTGTGTGGAATGTTGCCCCGGGTATTGTGATGTCATGTTACCATAGCAACCATAACTCTACCTGAGTTAGATATTTTTTGTCGAAAATTTGCAATCTTAGTAACGATACATGAAAGTACATTATGTAAAATTTTAAAGACGATTGGTGCATATTTAACAAAATGCCAGGACCAGTCCTGTTACTTTTGGAACACCCTGTATAGTTATTCCCAAATTAAGGGGTGACGTTCTTGGGGTCACCTGTACTTGGACTTGAATTTGAATTTTGAATTTTATATTCTCAATTCAATTAAAAAAGAACAAATGGGTACCTGTATTTTCAGCACTATATAGTAGGTGTCTTTTGTTGTAAGGCATTCTAATTTGAAAGAGGTTTAATTTTAGAGCCTACGGAGTACAATAGATATCGTGTTATCTGGTTATTTCAATTTGTTCAGTTTAGAATTTCAGCCTTTGTTTCATTTTTACAAAACTAATTATCAACTGCCACTTCTATCGTCAAAGAGTATTCACATAGCCATAAAGACTTTATTGTACGCCATGATTAAATAAATATTTCATTCAATTCAGTAACTAAATGTAAGGTCATTATGAATGAACACTCCTCTATTATAAAATTATATACCAAATAAAATCTTTTAATTTGGAGTTTTTAGAAAAATCATAATCTCAGTTGTGTGAACTTTGCATCGTCGGTTCCCACGCCCAATCACTACGTTCTATCCCGAGGTGAGGCTAGGTCCGAAGCTTGATGAAGCAGGATGTGAAGTTTGTGTGAACTCTTAAGTCTATCTCCCTAAAGGTACGTTCACACCAACGGCGAATGCCACGCTTTAAATCGGCGAGCAAAGCGCCGTCATTTTTGTCATTTTTCTTCATACCAACGGCGCTTTGATGGCGCTTTAAAGCGGCTTGTAAAGCGGCACCAAAGCGTAACAAAGTTTGATTAAGCGTCGGGGTCGTAATAGGTCGTAGAAAAGCTCAGAGTAAAACGGGATATTCGGCAAGAGCGCCAAAAAAATTTAAACTCTTAAAAATTTTTGGCGCTCTCTTACGAATCGATTAAGCGCCGAGAGCGTATCAAAGCTTAACAAACCGTAACAAAGCTCAGAAAAACTTGATCCAAAGCGTAGGAAAGCTTAACATAGCTCTAAAAGGTTCCTCACGCTTTGATCAGGCTTTGTTACGCTTGAAATCACGCTTTGAAAAGCTTTGATAAGCATTATTACGCTTTGATGCGATTATGACGCTTTAAATCAGGCTCTGATACGATTGCAAAACTCTGTTGTGCATTGTTACGCTCTGTTAAGCTCTGTCACGCATTGGAAAATGTCGAGATCGCCGATTCCATGCCGCTTTTGTCCAATGACTATATAAAGATGCAGTAGATCCATAAAACCATTCCATCTTTGACTCGAGAACACGATGGCAGAACAACGAGATCCAGAAATTCCAGATGGACCAGAGCATGACCTATCTGAAGAAGACATGACGTTTGTCGCACGGCGTGATATAGCGTGTGAAAACTTTCAAGCGTAACAAAGCCTAGCAAAGCGTTTCAATCCTTGATTAAAGCGTCTCAATTCGTTGGAAAGCTTGAGAGTCCCTCAGGAAAGTGTAACAAAGAGTGTCAGATATTGATGAAAGCGTCTGACCTCGTGTCAGATCTTCATGCCAGATCGTAGCAAATCTTGAGACATCTTAACGAAGCAAGTCAAGTGGTAACAGACCGTGAATAGACTGGGGTCCCCGCTTTGAACCAAGCTGTGTTAAGCTTTCCTACGCTTGGAGTCAAGCTTTGTTGAGCTTTGTTACGGTTTGTTAAGCTTTGATACGCTCTCGGCGCTTCAATCAATTCGTAACAGAGCGCCCAAAATTTTTAAACAGTTTAACATTTTTTGGCGCTCTTGCCGAATATCCCGCTTTACTCCGAACTTTTCTACGACCTATTACGATCCCGACGCTTTAATCAAGCTTTGTTACGCTTTTGTGCCGCTTTACAATCCGCTTTAAAGCGCCATCAAAGCGCCGTTGGTGCGAACGCTTAAACAGTTTAAATTTTTTAGCGCTCTTGCCGAATATCCCGCTTTACTCCCGAGCTTTTCTACGACCTATTACGACCCCGACGCTTTAATTAAGCTTTGTTACGCTTTGGTGCCGCTTTACAAGCCGCTTTAAAGCGCCATCAAAGCGCCGTTGGTGTGAACGTACCATTAAGTAGCTCGTTTTAAAAAGATGCATATATGTTCGTTAAATATGTCAGATGTCGTTAAACTTAGCTCAATATATGTTAACTCTTGATTTGAATTTCATTAAACAAATGTAATATTAAAATGATCTTGCCTTCAGATTTCAGGATATCTATTGAGTAAAAGATTCACCATTTTAACATAGAAAATCAAATTGTCTAACTTTTTCAAATTCAATTGTATCTTGCCAAAACAAAATGGAGGTATCGGACATGATGTCAGTTTATTTTTTCCAATACTAAAACAGTTTTTTCCTTTACACTACACACATATTATACGAATAATAATTCAAACATAAGGAGGCTTAACACTCCATGGAGTTTACGGTTGATACATTTTTGGAAGGGTGTAAATTGTATGTAAGAAAATTACAAAAATGGTTTTATATGAGGAACCCCAATGAAGATGGAGATTTGTGGATAATATAAAAAATGAACCCCTGGTCACCAAATCCTGGCTACGCCATTGCAAACATGACGAAAACTCAATGCCTGATCAAAAAATATTTCTATTCAAATATGGAACAAGAATAAATAAATCAAACTTTCATTTAACCCTTTACATCATTGTCTCAACATTATTGGAATTATTCAACTACATATCTTCCTTCATCTTAAAAGAACCTGCCACGTGTTTGTACTGTGCCGATTTGGCCCGCGACCGGGTCATTGTCAACCCAGTTTCTCGATCCTTATTCTTTTCTGCAACTCGTGCTATCATTCTCGCCACGTATTTTAGGTGCTCGGTCGTATAAACTCGTCTAGGAACGGCTAAGCGGATCAGATCCGAAGCATCGGGGCTAAATGATCCAATGTCCAAACACCTCACCCCACTCTCAATATACAACAATCCAGCGAAGGTTAATCCTGGAAACTCATCAGATGGTATCTTTGGACATAGTTTATTAGCATTCAGGTAGATGGCGTGTCCTCCCGCTGGAAAGACACCCGGAACACCTTGCCTAATTAGTTCTTCTTCAAAGAACTTCAGATTAGCTCGACGATAACGTAGGTAGCTCTCATCCAGGACCTCATACAATCCAACGGCTACTGCTTCCAAATCCCGACCAGATAGTCCGCCGTATGTTATATGGCCTTCTGTAGCAATGACATACGGGACACATTGATCATAAAGATCTTCTGAATTCATGGCCAATACACCACCTAAAATTGCAAATTCAAGAATATATGTTATATCATCAATACAATCAAATTCAAAGGGGAATCGTTCTACCTACATAAGGGTTATGTACTGGGGGGGTTTTGGATATGGGGTTTATCCAGAGGGAGATATGCATATCTACCTGAGGGACCGTAGGGACCGAAGGTAGATGTGCATATCTCACGAAGGATGAACCCTATATCCAAACCGACCGTACATAACTGCTTTATCCTATTACCAAGTAGAGTTTTCTAATTTTCTTTCAATTTTTTTCAATTTTTTTTTATTTTTTCATTTTTTTCACATTTTTCAATTTTTTTCATATTTTCAATTTTTTTCACATCTTCTCTTTTTTCAATTTTTCTTATTTTTTCAAATTTTGTTCGAAGCGGGAAGATATGCCCTGGAACGGGAGATATGGTGGGAGATATGGAGGTTCAGTATATCGAAACCTCAAAATCAGGTGGATACGGGATATATCTTACCAACTTATCTCCCTAAAACTCTACTTGGCATAGGATAAATGCATTTATGTTGTCAGATAACATGCAGGAGTCATAACTTAATCGGTACACAAGCGTAAATACGTATTTAGTTTGGATTCGCTCATTATCTCTAAAATGTTTTTTTTCTTTAAACAGTGCTAGCAGTGCCTGTCTTACCCATGGTGGAGTTGGCGTCTTTCTTTGCTGAAATCATACAACCATCAGCGTATGAGAACATTTCTTTTGCAATTTCCCTTGGACTCATATCGCCATAGCCATCCTCTCTCTCCTTTACGAACCAAGAATTCTCTGCAAATCTACATCCGTCTAGAATAAAGGGTATGCCATGAGCTTTGCAAACATAAGAAGCAGCCTTGATATTCGCCATGCTCACGGGTTGCCCTCGCATTTTGTTGTTCGTCACTGTTATCATAACAAGAGGAATTTCTTCACCCTTTTCTTCCAGTACTTCTTTTAGTTTATCGATATCCATATTCCCAGGAAAAGCAGCAGTGTCATCAGTTACCATGGCCATATCCAGTGCAATGCCCTTATTCAGAGAAATATTTGTCTTCGTTGAGTCGTAGTGGTTGTTGTTCACAATAACAGAACCTTCTGTCACAAGTGCATTGAACAATACTTTCTCACACGCCCGCCCTTGATGCGCTGGTAGGACATATTTATAGCCAGTTATGTCTTGGACCGCACTCTGATAGCGTTCAAAACTGGCAGATCCAGCGTAGGACTCGTCGCCTAACATCATTGCAGACCATTGTTTTGTACTCATGGCGGAAAATCCAGAATCTGTTATCAGATCAATTGTTATATTTGAAGCTAACATTCTGTATGGGTTGAAATCTGCTTTCAAGATGGCATCCTTTCGTTCTTTCGCTGTGAGAAATGGTATTTCTTCAACACTTTTAACACGATATGGCTCCATCCCCGGCTCCATTTTGCGTTGCCTGTTGCAGGTGCGTTGTGATATTTTCCTCCTCGAAACACTGTGTGAAATAAAGTAATTACTACTACATCCCGTATATATTTACTTATAGTTGGTAATTAAACACGAAAATCGCTTTAATAAACATTAATGGACACGTTTGTATTTATACGTTTATATCTATTCGGTTATTTATGCGTATTTACCTTTAGCCAAGCTATTTTGTATCTTGCTTCATCAAGCTTCGGACCTATCCTCACCTTGATTCACCGCAAATTATTAGCTATATCTCAAATTTGTCATATGAACCCACGGGACAGAACGTAGTGATTGAGCGTGGGAACCGACGATGGCTATTTTGGCCTTAACGCAGTGGCGTAGCCAGGATTTGGTGACCGGGGGTTCTATTTTTATGCTATTCACAAATCCCCCCCCCCCCTTCATTAGGGTTCCTAAAAAAATGCAATTTGTACAATTACACTCCCTCCAAAAGTTTGGCTATCCTAATTAACCCATTGGCTTATGTATTAAAGCACCTTTAAGTTTGAAATCTTATTTGTAAAGAAAAAACTATTTTGGAAGAGGAAATATAATTCATTTTAATACCTTCATTAAGTAGACAATTGAATTTTATTTAACAAAAATGATGTCTTTATTTACGTTAAGCAAAGTCTGAAGGTAATAGGCTTTATCAAGAAACCTCTCCCATTGAAATAACACAGGACGTAAAAATGATTTTCAAAAATGACCTTGTAGCTTTGTAACTTTAATGTTCACAAAGTAAAATAAACAGGCAACGCGCAAAAAAGTCAAACAACTTATAATTAATTTTCTGCATCAAAATATATTTCGGTGAATCTTTTAGTGATTACATTCTGAAATCTGATTTGCCCCGAATAAACCATTATTTCGTCTGATTTCTGGAAGACTCTGGAGCATAAATTGTTTCCAAGGAATATCAACTATTTCGCACAATTTATTCTTTAACTTAAGCTACTTCATCTAGGACAAAATAAATCACCTCATGCAATGGCTTATCACTATTTTTCAGGAATTTTGTTGGAAGCCAGTTCGGATCAAATGCAAGGTTATTGAAATTGGCGCAAACACTCTATACTCCGAAAGATCGTCTTCTACGATAACTTTTCACAACGTTTACACGAAGGCTTTGTAAACTATCCAGGATGGTTGTATTGCTTGAATCTGGGGTAACAAAATTACAAGCAACATGTATAATTGACCTACCAATCCATTCCTTACAATATCAAATACAATATCTCCCAAAAAAATCACAAATAATTCATTTCACAGCGTTTTGAATAAATTGGTGAAGTTATTATTGATTCAAAGTGCAAAAATGAGTGAAAAATGTTTAAATTCTCCCAAATAATTAAAATGGTAACCGTTTTTATAGAAAAATAATACATTATTGTAAAAATCGTTAGTTTTCCTGGAATAAAGTATGCACTTTTGTGATTTTTAGAAAATAGTCATGAAAAGGAAAGACATGAGCCAGAAATATTCTAAAATTGAAACAATTTTTTGTTTAGCCTGCTCTGATTCTCTCTTTAACATGAAAATGGAGAGCAAGTAAACTGGAACGATAAAAAATTGAATTCTATAGAATCTCTTAGATGAGTGGAATGTATCTGAAAAAAAAATCATTTTTTCCAATGATTGATTTTTCTTTGGAAAAGTGATGGGTAAATAAATACTAAACAAATGAAAGAATAAATAAACGATATACGCTTTTAAATAATTCATTTCACAGCGTTTTGAATTATTTAACGCGGGGACTTGCCAGCCTCAGGGACGTCCCAAGAAATATTTTAAATTTTATTTAAATAAAACAAAACAAAGATGTACACATTTGAAAGAACATGTGTTTCATCAATATTACGACTATTCCAGATATTTATTCGTCAATGTTCATCATCGGAGTATGGGACGTCAATAACTTCGTATTGGACCAGAACTGGCTTAAAACAAAATTCCTTCAAAGGACTGATTTAGCCATTGCCGATTGCCCAAGATGGGTTATTTTGTCCGAGAAGAAGCAGCTTTTAAGTTAATTGTGCGAATTTATTGTTATTTTTAAATGTAAAATCTCATGCTCTGGGGTCTTCCCAAAATTAAATCTCACCCCGTGCCTAAGGTTGCCAAACGTTTTGAGGGAAGTGCAACTTCACTATGACATGTTTTTAGCGAAATGAGGCTCTCGTGTTCACCATAACAAAATTATATCTATTCATTTACTGCTCATATATGTAGTTTTCAAATAGCACAGTGATTAAATGTTTCTGGTTATATGCATTTTTTCGCAAAATGATATTTTTGGAAATCCTGACCGGGGGTTCGTTCGAACCCACCGAACCCCCGCTGGCTACGGCTATGTGATCGAAGTTATCTTGTGCTATAAAAAAGCAATTTAAAAGATGAAAAAGTATCAAATTTCGGCTCGCTACAATTCTCCAACACAGTGGCGTGACCTAACACGACCTTTTAATGTTAGTGCTGACAGCTTAATGTTCAATTAGGTTAATAAGTTTAATATGGAAATAGGGCGCTTCAATCAACTGAGGGATATACCCTGTATCAAAAATCGAGCATTCAATAACTGATTTTTTCTACATTGTAAATAATGAGGGTTTTTAGTCAAGTCCCCTGGCTCAGTATCTACTCTCTGATTTTTTGACGTTGTAGATACCACTCACTCACTCCAGATATCAATTATATTCCTGCATGTTATCTACCTATAACACTACTAAGTATGAAATAATAGTATTTCACCCCAAATAGTGATTAGTTATTGAACAGTGATTACGTCATTAACAAGGACAAATATCAACAGACTGTTTGTAAAGGATATAAGCCCTGAGGACTTCATACATTGTGGATGATTTATTCCACTTTTGTCTTGTTTCCAGACCTTTGCATGAGTGCGGCGGCTCAAATGTCATATATTTCTCCCTTCTTTTAACCTTTTTATGAAGGCTGATATCATATCCATTGAATTATTCAAAAATAATTTTATTTTTCAGACCTTATATTCCAACATTTCCAAGAAGGCCACATCAACATCAAGCCAACCTATAAGTATGATGTTGGAACTGATGAATATGATTCATCACCTAAAATGAGAACACCTTCTTATACAGTGAGTACTATTGCAGGCCCATAGCCAGGGTGGTTCGCAGGGTTCGGGCAAACCTCCCCCCCCGGCCAAATTTTTTTTCAAAATCATGCAGTTTTTCACCATTTTGAGCACTTCTCAAGTGATTTTAAATTGTCAAATGTGAACCCTCCCCTGGAAATTTTCGAAAAGCTGAACCCCCCTGGCAAATCCTGGCTACGGGCCTGTATTGGAATACTATAGAAGATTTAGGTTGAGTCATATAGGTAAATGCAGTACGTTTCGACAATAGAAAGTGCAAACTAAAACTGATGGCTTTAACAAATTCACAACAGAATTCACGATCGTCAATTTTTATATTTGAAAACACATAACTTCAGTAAATGTGAAACATCAATGCAAAAATAGTTTGCATTTATGTACTCTTCAACTCATAAAATAATTGTTGGTTTTTCAGGACCGCATATTGTACAGGTCTAAGAAGAAGCATGCGATAAGCTGCCTTCACTATGACTCCGCAAACAGTATAAAGGTGTCTGACCATAGACCGGTGTATGGACTCTATGAGGTTTCCTTGAAGCCTGGGATTGATAGGTAAGCAAATGTGAAATAATTCATAATCAACTAAATATAAGCATTTTTCATTTTTAAAATAATAACTAAATAGAAGCATGTATGGTATTTATTTATTTTATTTATTCATATGACCAGGAAGTGGAATAGCTCGCTAAATAATAATTCAAAGAAGAGAGCTTTTCAAAAATGTGCTAAAATTGCCCTTACAAAATCAATTTAAACTTTGCATATATTCTCACAATATGCTATTTCAAACAAGCAATCTTTTCAAATAGTGTACCAATGTGTGTTTCCTTTACTGTGGTCTTATAATCGCCTGAATGCTATATCTGTATGTTTTCAGTATACCCCTATGTGCAGGCCAGTTTGAATGCTATATCTGTATGTTTTCAGTATATCCCTATGTGCAGGCCAGTTTGAATGCTATATCTGTATGTTTTCAGTATACCCCTATGTGCAGGCCAGTTTGAATGCTATATCTTTATGTTTTCAGTATACCTCTATGTGCAGGCCAGTTTGAATGCTATATCTGTATGTTTTCAGTATACCACTATGCGCAGGCCAGTTTGAATGCTATATCTGTATGTTTTCAGTGTACCCCTATGTGCAGGCCAGTTTGAATGCAATATCTGTATGTTTTCAGTATACCCCTATGTGCAGGCCAGTTTGAATGCTATATCTGTATGTTTTCAGTATACCCCTATGTGCAGGCCAGTTTGAATGCTATATCTGTATGTTTTCAGTATACCTCTATGTGCAGGCCAGT